AAATTATATTTAGGTTTATGTTTTGTTTTTTATTTGTAATTTCAATGATAATGTTGGTGATTTAATTTTAGCTTATTATATATTGTATGTTTTTATTATAATTTAAGAAATGTTATACATGTAAATATTATTTTTAATTTTTACAATGTTTATAGAGAAAAATTATTCTTTTACAAATTTTTTGGACGTGTAATTAATGAAAATTTTTTTCTACCATGATGCTTTCTTTCAAACCGTAAGTGGTCTGAATATTTTTTGGTAGAAACTGTGACTTAGCTGTAAAATTTTTTTTTAGAATGTGCGGTACTTTTCAGACAAATTATGGTTTGAAAATAGTTTCAAGATAATGACACATAGGAATTGAAAATTTTCATTCTTGTATATAAGGCCATATTTTTCGGACCAAATATGGTATAAAAATAGTTTCAACAAAGTGACACAAGATACCAAACTTTTTTATCTATCTAAATAAGGCCACAAATTTTCAGACCAAAGTTGGTCTGAAATTTATTTCAACATAGTGACACATGGATACAAGACTTTTTCACTCTTCTAAATAAGTCCATTATTTTTCAAACCATTTTCGATATGAACAAGTTTTCAAACTATATCTAAATTAAGATCATATCTTTTCAGTTTCGCAGATAAGGCCACTATTTTTTAGACCATTGTCGGTGTGAAATGTTTTGTATATTCAGACCTCTTTCGATCTGGTTGAAGGTGTGGGTAGTCAAAATTTTCAACCATTATTCAGACCAACTTCGGTCTGAAAATAATTTATATTCAGATCGATATTTTGTTGGTCTGAATATAAAGTTATTCAGACTGACTTTGTCTAGACCAACTATCCGGATTGCTTACGGTCTGAATATAAATATTCAGACCAATTTCCCCTATTTTCAGACCAATGTTTTAGTCTAAATTATAGGTGTTTCCAGTAGTGCAATCCCCCTCTGGGAAACCATGAAGCCTAGAAATTTCCCAGACTCCATGCCAAAGATGCACTTTGCTGGATTCAATCGCATTCTTTTTTTTTTTTTTAGGTTATTGAATGTTTCATCGAGGTCAGCTAAATGATTTTTTGCCTTCAGACTCTTCACCATGATGCCATCGACATAAACTTCCAGATTCCTACCGATCTGAGCTCGAAATACGATGGTCACCATCTTCTGGTAACTGGCACCTGCGTTCTTTAAGCTAAAGGGCATCATGACATAACAATAAATTTCATCACCAGCATAGAATGAGGTTTTCTCTTTATCCTCTGGAGCCATTGGCACTTGATGGTAGCCAGAATATTCATCTAACAAACTTAATCTCTCATTTCCAGAAGCTGTTTCAACCAGTTTGTCAATGCTTGGCATCAGATAATAGTCTTTGGGACAAGCCTGGTTGAGATTTGTGTAATCAATGCACATTCACCATTTACCATTTGCATTCTTGACCAACACTGGATTGGCCACCCATTCACAATAACCAACTCTCCTGACGAAGCCAGCTTGCAAGAGTTTCTCCATTTCTTCCTTTATAACCTAAAGCCTTTCTCCTCCAAAGAGGCGTTGCTTCTAGGCTACTAGTTTCTTCAATGGATTGGTGCTAAGCTTATGCTGAGATACCGAGGTTGGAAGCCCTGGCATGTTTGCTGAGGTCCAAGCGAAGACATTTTTGTTAGCTCGGAGGAAAGCTATTAGCTCTGCTCTTTCCTTTGGGTTCAATCGAGTTCCAACTTGTGTCTTCTTGTTTTGATCGCTATCATCAAGTTGCACTTCCTCTACATCCTCAACTGGGGTAGCTTTAGTTTCATCTTCAGGTCGGTTGTTTACTATCTCTACCCCCATCACCTGTTGATTATCATGAACTTGTTGGGGAATGGTTTATGATGTCTGATCTTTGCCTTTTTGAGGCCTTGTAATCAAGGTAATATAGCAATGTCTAGCCACCTCCTACTTACCTCGTAGTGTTGCTATCCCCATGGGGGTTGGGAACTTCATGTAGAGGTGAGATTGAGAGATCACAGCTTGGATATCGGTTAATGTAGGTCGTCTGATAACAACATTGAAGGAGGATGCCATTTTGACAACTAGAAATCAAATTGAAGAGATAACATAAGTTCGACCACTTCCAAAAGCAACATTGAGAGTAAAAACTCCTTCTATCTGAACAAGTTGGGGGTCATCGTACCTCTGCAACAAGCTAGATCAAGTCCTAGACTTTCAAAACAATGAAAGTACATAATGTCTAGTGCACTCCCTATGTCAACAAAGACACGTTGTACTTCACAGTTGTTAATCATAACTGAAGTTACCAAAGGATCATTATGGGCTATGACAACTCTATCAAAGTCAGCAGGTGTGAAAGTGATGGGTTGATTCTTCCAGTCAACGTCGTCAAACTTTCGTTTTTTAGCTCGGTTTTGATGCTTCACCTCCCTGACATACAATTTTCGTTGTTTGGAGCTCAAATCCCCTGCTTCCAAGTCTCATGTAATCAAATGTATAATTCTGGTTGGTGGTGGGAGTGGAGGTGGGGCTTGTTGATATCCCACACCTTGCCTGTTGTCTGCATTATGAGATCCTTGTGGTTGTGGCCCCTGTTCTTTGACAAACTTCGGTTGCTCTGTTCTCTGGATGTATTCATTTAGCATTCCCTTTTGAGCTAGACTTTTCAATTCGGACCTCAGACTATTACATTGCTCCGTTGTGTGACCGTGATCTTGATGAAAATCACAATATCTAGTATGATCACGTGTAGCAACAGAACTTCTCATCGGCCGTGGTCGCCTCAAATCCATCTTATTCTTGATTTGCATGAAAATCTGCAACCTCGGCAGATTGAAAGGAGTCCATGTAACTAGTGCTTTATTAGTAATTTGTTGGGGGGTACCGAGTTCGGCTTTCCAAATCTCGATGTGGAGGTCGATATCGGACCTTGGCTCTATATTGTCTTCATTCGCTTTCTGCTCTAACCCTCATCTCTCCAATCGAGTTTTGATTCTTGGGGAGAACTGGTTTCTATGATAAGGCATATTCCTCAACAATTATAAATTTCAAGGATCTGTCATTAACCTCATTAAAAGTAGCAACAGGATGCTTAATTAAGCTTCATTAAAAGTAGCAGCAGGATGCTTAATTAAGCTATCTCTGAATCTCTCGTGTTGGAGACTTTAAATTATAGCTGCAATTCCTACAACTTAGTTAAATGAGCTGACTTCAAGAACTGCATCATTGCACCTGCTCATGTAGTTCTTCAAAGATTCTCCGTCTCTCTGTTTAACTCGCATCAGTTTAGAAATGATTTTCCTAATCAATCTTCTATTGGAAAACTTTGTAGCAAAAAGCAGATGCCATTTCTGTATAAGAGTTGATAGATTTCGAAGGCAGACTATAGTACTAGGTTCGAGCATTACCACGAAGAGTGGAGGGAAAAATTTTGCACATCAACGCATCAAAAGCATTCTGAGCTTGCATACAGGAGTAGAAGGCATGGAGGTGATCATCCAGATCCTTCGTTCCATCATATGTCTCGAGCTGAGGTATTTTGAAACCAACGGGATAAGGTTCCAATGTAATATTAGTGTTCAGAGGATAAGGTATGGAATCAGTGTTACAGTGTGGAGGTGGGGCACCTCGCTGCTCAACTACCAATTTTTCTAAGCTGTCCAGACGTCGTGACATCATCGGGTAGAGGTTGTTGAACTGGGGTTACGTGAGACTGACCCTGAGACTCATTAAGAGTAGGAGCATGTTGAACTGGTTGAGGGTCTTGTTGTTGAACTAGGGGTTGTTAAGTAGGGTTGAGTAGATTGATGAGGGGATTACCAAGATTATTTCGAGCTAAAAGCTTAGCCAAAACCAATTGAAAGACATTGAACTGCTATTACATAGCAGGAAGCTGAGCTGTGACTACATCTCTTTAATTAAGAGTGGAAGCTGAATTGTGGGCTAAGTTGTGAGGTTGATTTTCATCTCCTCCTTCTGCATGTTCAATAGGAGGGAATAGGTTCGGGATTTGAGGTGAGATGTGAGGTGGGAGGTTGTTGGTGTATTGCCCTTAACCTTGTCCAAAAGGTTGAACCTGATTTCTAGCTCGAACAGATCGAGTGTTGACCATGATGAGAAAGCAACAAAGGAGCTTTTAGGTCAGATTCCCACAGACAGCGCCAATGTAATTGCACCAAACCATAAATCCTTCTTCAGTCCACCTTTTCACTCCGGATGAACCTACAAAGCCCCAAGGTGGATCTTCGGGGTAGACACTCCAATGCTTAAGTCAACAATAATCGGATCTACCTTTAGAATAATGGAAAAAGGAGCTTTAGGTTGGTTTCAATTACCTTTTTGAGATGGCCCCTAGGGGGTATTTATAGGCCTTAGTGAGGTGTCCACGTGGCTTGTTTAACAAAATGATCGGAGTGTGACATGTCCCTTCAGTCAATAATTTTGAGACCGAGAAATTATGTAAATCAGGTGTGGGCATGTTCGTTGTATTTATCAAGCAGCCATTTAACCAGGAAGTGCTGGGTTTAACTTCACTTTGGTTATTAAGGAACTGTAGCAGTACGTCCGAGATTAAAAACCTCAGACCTATCCTTACACTATATAAAATATACATAATGATGTGCAAAAGATCCACCATAGCTATGAATTCGAAGAGAAAGATTTACTTTCTTTAATAGGTTGCACGTTCCACAATACACTCAAAACCAATTAAAATGTGTTGTAGTTAAGAAAGAAATAAACTCAGGACATGGGCATTTTGCATTTTGTTGCTTGTTGTGAGATGAGTTTGTTTCAAGGTTGATTATGTATTGTGAAAACATCTGGAAATTGTAATGGGTTTTGTGTACTCCTTTTGCTCACTTTAATAAAATAATTATTGTCGATAAAAAATAAAATTTTATTTAAATAGTATGGTAGTAAATTTGGAAAGAGTAAATATTTGAGATTGATCATCTTTCTAATGTTTTAATTTCAATGATTTTATCTTTTCAATATTTTGAAAATTTTCTATTAGTTATCAAATAATAGAAAATATTTTCTTAAAAACAGTTTCCAAAATGTTCCAAATAATAGAAAATAATCTTTAAAAAATGAAATATATTTTTCTTAGAAAATATTTTTCTTAGAAAATATTTTTCAATATGAATGTCTATAATCAGGTAAAGTACTAAGATGCTCAAGTTCAAGCTATATTTATACTAGTCAAACTCGAGCCAAGGTCAAACTTCGTTGGACTTAGACGAGTTAAGCTTGAGATTGGCTCGGTAATCTTACTAAACCTGACTCATTCGTAACTTGATGAGTGGCGCTTGATTTGAGTAATTTGCAACTCAAGGTTCCACATGCACCAAATTCTTATTGTATTTGACGCCTTGGTCGGGGTAAATTTTTTAATTTTAATAAAGTTTTCTAATAGGGTAAAATAGTTATTTTACTCTTTCTTCATAAAATAATTGTTATTTTAATTTTAATTTTATTTTAAATTAATTGTTAATTTTTTTATTTTTTAAAATAAACAAATATTTTTTTCTCCTTTAATATTATTATTATCTATTTATTTTAGTTACTAATCATCATATCATAAAAATCTCACTTTATTTTTTATTACCTTTGTTCAAATTTAATATTCTTATTTTGACATTTTAACTTTTTGAATATACATTTTAGATGAAAATTTAATGTATTATATAAATCATAATTAAAATTATTTTTGATCAAATAAAAAATAATCAACAAAAATTACAAATAGAACAAAATTTAATTATTATTTATATAAATTATTAAATTTTTATCTAAAATTCATATTTACAAAATTAAAAAAATTAAACTAAAACAACTAGATTTGAAGGGAGGATGTATTCCTTTGAAAGTAATATAAATAATTTATAAATTGTCTCCAAATATTTAATTTTAAAAAAAAAATAGAAGGTCAATAGTTATTTTAAAATAGAGAGAGAAATTAGATAACATGATTATGGATATTCTCTTTATTCATTTTTTTAAAAATTTAACTTGAATTTTTGACTTTTTAAATTTTAAATAATAATTTAATAATTTATATAGATAATAATGAATTTTTTGTATATACAATTTTTATTAAATATTT